GACAATATCACAGTTGCCCAAGAGGAATAGCGGCTGTTGGCGCACACACAAAATGGACTAAGGCAGCAGCAAACACTTCGACGGCATTTGCTCCGATTAACTGCCACCGCCACTGTCCCCCCCAACGCTACAGCCACGAAGTAATGAAGGCACCACTCTCTCGCGCACTCGAAAGGCTATAGTTTGCAAGCAAATGCTGCGCTCTCGCCTCCAGAATATCAAGCTGATAGAAGAAAAGCTGAAGAAAATCTCACAGTCTTCACTAGAGCTTATGAAAGAACGAGACGAGTTGGCTCTGATGATAGCTCACGTGAAGGAACAGACTATCCGCCTTGCCGCCGCTGCTGGAGTACCTACGCACGAAACAGGCTACGTGATGTCGCTCTCCGTGGCTCTCGAACAGTGCTGCGAAGCTCTATTAGAGCACATTTAAATCAGCTTAATACGAAACTCACAGGAAGAAGACGAGACGACGTAACTACTTAAAAAATCGATACCATTTGGCGAAGCCAACTGCTCGTGTTAATGTGTTATGGTCGCAAGTAGCTCCAAGTCAGTCGCCTCTATCTCCTTAGCAATTTGGATTGCTACAGTGTTAACTTCTGGTTGCATAACTATCATCCACATGATACGAAGCCGCATAATTGCGATATCGTCTGATGTAACGGCACCTTGTGCAAGCTGGAAGCTGTCCTTCAACACGGAATAAACTTGGGCAATAGTCGAACCACACGAAGGTCCATCGGGCCGCTTTGGCGACATTAAGCATACTTTACTGTTCTCCACTGGATAATCTTCATTCGGCATGGTTTATCATGCCACTCGCTCAAAAATGACACATTTTTGAACGAGCGACGTGTAAGTCGCTTCTATCGTATCGCTATACGAAGATCCGCATATTGACTCGTAGTAGTAGGGTGTAAAGCACGAATCTTCTCTTTTGTAAGCAATGGCGACGATGACGACACCCAATGGATGTTGCTTAAATGCAGAGGCAACACAAGGTAGTGGAAGCTTCAAATCCGTGAGTGTGGTGGTTTCGGACAGCCCATAGTTGGAGAAAATGAATCCAATGCGTAACAATCTCCCAGCACATCGCAGATGCATCGAACACTGAAACTGATAATGACATCAGAGAGCATTCTGTCACGCGCAAGCATTCCAACGAGCGTGTCGACCTTAGCGGTGCCTTCACCACTTGATAGTCGGAAAGTAGAGCTTAAACAAGCATCCTCGAGCTGTACCACCACTTCGTTTGCCAGCTCCTGATGTTTTTCCCCCGCCGACAGTAAGAATATGTCGTCCGAATCAGTCTCCGCTTTAAACAACTCGGGGTTTGCAAGGATATTGCTCCACTTGGTCGTTTGCAGCCATTCCATGTCAGCTCTCCATGCGCTAATTGTTTTTACCACGTTGTAAAACTCCGACATTTTGAAGGTGGCTTCACTGTTGTAACGGATTCGTACAGCAGCTAACAACATGTATAAGCAAGTCTGTCACAGCAACACACCGAGCAGCTCACCGAGCAACACACCGAGCAACACACCGGGCAACACAACAAGCAACACAGCAAAAGCTTACCTTGTAAATCGTGGCGTTCCACCAGGAAAATATGCAATAATTGCTTCGGTGTTGCTGTCATGGTGCTCAACCACGGGGTTGAAATACTTCGACTTGGGTCGCTTCTTCCGTTCTGCTTCAATGGCCGCTTTCAGCTTGATTACTAGCGGTTTGGGAATCACAAAGTTGTAGACGTAGTTCTTGGGAGACACAGACTCTCGTGTGCAGCACGCGCATTCATGAAATTGTCGTCCAAGATCGTTGGGTAACCTGCCAAGATCTCGCTGACATGATTCTGGTCGGAAGTATCTGTTGCCCACGCGATGACGCGAGACACAGATGGCACATGTTTGTCCGGTAACGTAATAACGGCTAGCTTTTTAGGCTTTGCGAGCTTCTCCAGCCGAGCTTGCTTTAGGTTTTTTCGTTGGTTGCTTCGTGGTTTGGGTTTTGGAATACGTATCACTGCCAGACGGTCTCCTTGTGCTCCAACTTTTTTTGATCTTTTCTTGGTCGCTTCTGCCTTTACTGCAGCTTTTGGGGGGTAATCACTCTTCACACTGGGTGGTTATTTCGTAGATTTTGCCGTGACCGCGGCTTTTGTCGGGTAATACTTCGTTAATCCGGGCTTCACGCCAGGATTCGCCGAAGTGAAAGAGGAGGCGATGTCAATGTCACTGGATGGAGCTGTTTCATTCCGTGAGGTTGAACTACCAAGCTCACTTTCCTGCGACGACTCGGCCCTTGTAGTATTTCTTTGCAGATCAAACTCACTTTTCTCCATTTCACGAATGAAATTCATAGTTTCAATGAGATCTGCTGGTGTTTGTCAGACATAGTGTCGATAGCATCCAAGCCTTCTCCTGATCCGTCTCCATGTGGCACTGTTGTAGCGTCTGATGTTTGCTCTTCGGCTGATCCAACATCGTGTAGACCTTTGTTAGCTATTGTTTTCCAGGCCCTTCAGGGCGGAGTAGAATGCTGGACTCGACAATTCCGCTAGATGTCCCATCACATGTTCAAACAGCTTTTGCATAGCAGTATTTCTCTTCTGATGACAGTACAACAACGTTGGCACGCTCTCGGCTCCGCATCTTTACATATACGACACGGCGTTTATGCTTACGCTGGGCTTCACCGCCACTTCGATCATGCTTTTCTTGAGTTGAGTCATGGGTTGCTTCTTGTGTTGCGGAATCATGATGGGTCGCTTCGACCATCTCGACCGAATCAAGTTGTGTTTCGATCGCGTCCGCTCTCGCTTTCTTTTGAGTCAAACCATCATGTTCATAAGCTGCACCTGCTACTTTCATCGAGGCCTCCACAGCTTGAAGCGATGATATACCATCTCTGAAATCCTTCTCCAGCTCCACCATCGCCATCATGATACCCCAAGTTGCTGGTACCGTGTGTCCAGTCCATTACCAAACTGTCGCCCCACTGCTCGAAGCATGTCTTCTGAAGCGATGTCTGCATAGCTATGACACAAGCAATCCCCATCTGATCTTGCACAAGAAGAACGTCGTTGTTGTCCTCCTCCACAAATGTATCCAGTAGCACCCTGGTCCGCTCCACTGTTGTAGATCCCAACACTTCTTGCAAAATGTTTCTAGTCTGCTGTGAAGTCAGAACGATATCTGTTAAAGCAAAAATAAAACAACAATGTTAATTTAAATTGATAAAACAAACTTTGACTGACACATCCTCGTCACGGTCACCAGAAGCACCCACCAAGCTTATCAGAAAGATATCGGTTGATATCTGCAGTGCTGGCCTTCATGTCTGCCAATAGTCCGAGATCTTCTCGAACCTTGGACGACAGAGGCATCGACTTAGCTCCGCGGTACGAATCGTAAATAGTCTTGCTGGTTTTGTGGTTGTGCTTCGATATCTACAGAAAACGATAATGTGATAAGTCAGTGCTCACAAACGAAGCACATAATGTCAAACATTCTTACCTCCGAGTCCAATTGAACGGCGACTTCCCATTTGACAACTCCTTTCTTTACAACTTTTGCTGATCGAATCGTAAAGCTTGCCTCGCACCCGGTGTACCTCCAGCCATGGTCTCGTCGACCTTCCCCACGTGGTGCTTGCATTACCCCCGTGCGTACACCGCATCCACTTAAAACTTTGCGATAGACGCTCCGGAATGGGTAGAGCTCCTGGGCGGCTTAGCAACACGAAAGCAACACAACAATCAAAATAGAATAATAAAAGCGTTAGTATATCCTATCAAAACACCACTCGTTAACCCCACTTGAAGATTACCTGTTGTGTTTCTCCCGAGTTTCAGAGCTTCGAATTCGGTAATGCAGAAAAAATTATGCCTCGTACCTTTCGAGTGCTGTCTGAAACTCAGTCCAGTTGTTGAATGCTTTGACTGGAAGCTCTGGCACAAAGTTATCCACATGCTTATGCGCTTTCAGCATCTTCTCTCGCTCTTCCCACGTTTTAGTCTTTCATTGAGGTAGGCGCCGTCCCGCCGACACAGGCTGAGAGGAAGTAGCATGGCGGGGTTGTCCCCCATAATTAAGCTTGGAACGCTTGGGTGGAAACGCAGTTGCTACTGCGTCATCACAAATCGAATCTTCGTA